ACTCGGGGCCCGGTATTGATTCGGGCTCAGCATTGGTCGGTCTTTGGCTCTCGAGCTCGATAATGTTGCTTTGCATCATGGTTCGATTTGGATTCGAGCTCGATAATGACTTGAGCTCGGTATTGATCGGTCCCTGAAACTCGAAGCTAGGCAACCCGGCTTCAGATCTTATCCCGAAATTATGAAGACGCTCTTCGGTCCATTATGTTCCCATCTCGACCAGTCATACGAAGACTGAAATCGGTTTCGACCGTACATAGAAGCAATTTAGACTAAACTCTCATTTAATCTAAATAACATTCTTTTATAATCATAAAAATGTACAGAAGTCTTGTGATATGCATAAGACTGTATTTCTTTTCTTTTGTTTAATTTTGTTTCCAATAAAACATCACCACACAAAATGAAATGAGAGGAAATTTACTTTTTTTTCCGTAGGGAACATTTATTTTTTAGAATATTTTGTTTTCATATTCTAGACAAATAGTAGTAAGGAAACAAGCAAGAGATTGGTGACGGCAAACTTCTTGTGAAGACCATATAGTAACACGTGAAGCTATTGCAATATATCCAATACAAATCCTTTTCTTGTATATCTTGTGCAGCAGCCTATGTGCATACAAGTATTTGATCCTACGTCAACTCTTCCCTGGCAATCTGTGCGGCCATTTTATGGCCACCATTTACTATCGTTTCCTTTAAACCATAGCTGCCGTAGCAATCAAAATATGATTTTCAAGGAGACAATCTCAACACCGTCTCTACCAAGAAATATAGAGCAACAAATATTATCATAATATAAAGAAAAATAGTCCTATAATTTTCATGCCACAATTCCAGTTGACGTATATGCCTCAGCTGCTGGCTAGCTACTAGACTACACCGCCATTACTAGCTAGCTACCGACAGCGTATATGTGGTTTCATTTCTTCGGTAAGAAGTGTTGTCAGTTTTAAATTCCAGTCTTCCAAACATCTCAGTAATCCAGAAATTACTTTCGTCTAATCGAAAAAATGAATTTAAAACGAAGTTTTACCCACTAAACAATCACTTTTTTCGTATACTACTATTTATATATATGATTGGATCACTAGAATTCATATCTTGCATATAAGCTACTTTCTTGAAATATTCTAGGCACTAATTAAAAAGACAGTGCCTTAGAATGATTCCAACTGCTATGCAACTTGAATCCAATAACCATTTAATTGAATCTTTCGAAACCTTCTTTCAGAGCTGGCTGATTGAACAAGAGCGTTACTTACAACAATTGCTTCGCTTAAGCTCCGAAAGCTGCAATGAAAATTGCATTAGTGAAAAAAGACTCATCATAGACCAAGTGTTGGCCCATTACCGTGCATATTACATAGCCAAATCAAAAGTTACACAGGAGAACGTTTTCCTAGTGTTATCCCCTACTTGGTTCACGGCTTTCGAGCGCACTTACCTATGGATAGCAGGGTTTCGACCAGGACTAGCATTTACGCTGGTGAACAAGAATGTCTCGGACTTGTCGCGGAATCCGTCTTTGATGCTGAAGGAGTTATTGGATGAGATTAAGGCCGAGGAGAAATAACTTACTGATGAATTCACCAGGGTTCAACAAATCATGGTACTTCTTGTTAAAATAAATTCTCTCCTCATCCGCCATATTATCTGTCTTTTAACATTAATAAGAAACACATTTAATAGACTTTAATGTCAGGGGAGTATATATTACCCAAATTAGGATGCATGTAAACGCATGTTTTCTTTGCTGAACTAAATATTTTATGTACATATTTTCTAAAAATTAATCTAATATTATTTACTGATTCCGTGCTCCAATAAGGCATGCATTTAATTGAGTGTTCGAATTATTTTACTCAAAGAAACATGGATTGATTCCCACTAAATACTTTATTCTTCCTCTTTTCTTTAGTGATGCACCTTTGTTCTTGAAATCCTAGATCAATGTTTGTTTTAATGTTAATGAACTAACTTTTTGATAGGTGCAAAATGGCTCTTGTTTAGTGCCAGTGATTAATTTCTTTAACTGCAGGTATCACAAACAATGATTTTGCTAGCGAGGGACGAGGGACCACTGGAGAACGGGAGGTTGACAGAACTAAATAGGGCAATTGATAGGTTGAGGTTGGCAATGGAGACACTAGTTGAATGTGCAGATTATCTGAGGGGGAAGACAGTGTTGAGGATTGTGGAAATCCTAAGTGCAGCTCAAAGCGTGAGATTCTTGGTTGCTGCTACCCAATTTCAGCTCAGGATTCGAAGTTTGGGCCTGCAAAGAGAAGCTAATTAGCATCGTAATCCTCGTTTTTTTAAAAAAAAAAAAAAAAAAAAAAAAAAAAAAAAAATGAGCATATAACATGCTATTAAATAATTGTGTACTATTTCGTGTTTTGGTGTAATTAGATTAAACTAAAGAAAAAAAATAACCAAAAAAAGTTGGTGGCGTCGAGTATTGTTGGAAGTTTACAAGTTAATGAGGAAATTAGTGTTAACCAAAATTGGCTCAAAAATATTATGTCGAGATTCCCCACTAGTGTATCTCGTAAAGAATGCCTAGACATATATAATTGCTTTCATATCTTAGTGCTAGAGGACAATTGGCATATTCAACTTTATATGTCAATAAAAATATTTGCCATACTGACTCTCTTTTTGCATCTACTAAAATAATAAACTTACATTCCATCAAAGAATAATAATTACACGTCTGTCTGTTTCTCAAAAGCTCATGAGACAACTCTTTTCACATAAAGTGATAATCAAGCCAGACATTAGCTTGTTGTCATTTATATTAGTTATCCAACTAGTATCACAATACCTTTCTGATACCGAAGGGAATAAAGTAACATAATTTGTACTTTTAAAATAACCAAATGTCGTTATTATGTCTCTCCAAAGATCACTCCCAAGATGATGAGTACATATTAACATAAACCGCAGAGCAATATTCACCCCCGTGTAATTCGTAGTTTATATTATAGTTTCAATTACACTAGCCTAGTCTAATTGGCTAACATATCTTTCCAAAGTCTCAACCCTTTTATTAAAAACATCAAATGGCATATTAAAATCCATAATACCCACATGATCATTAATCAATTTTGAAAGAACCTTTTCAATGCGGTGAAACTGACCTAAAGCATAACCCCCACTACATTTTAAATTCGAAAAAGGTCCAAATATGCTTTTGTACTATACGAAATTGAGCACATTTGCTCTTCGTTAATACTTTAGCTCAAATATGCCCTTACCGTCACATAATTGGTCCATATATGCCATTTTCGAAACGAAATCCACCCAAACTAATTAGCTCTTTCGTTAATTGTAATAAAGTGTATTACAAACACTATTTCCATTTTATTAGTACTTTTTTTCTTTACCTATCTCTTTTCCTTCTTCTTTTTTCTTTTCTTCTCTTTTTTTTTCTTTTTCTTTTCGATTTCCTGCATTACTGATGTCTTCTCCATTTTCGTCACCAATTTCACTTGACAAAACTCATGATCTCAAGCATTAATGTAAGACTAATCCTCTTACTACCTTGAAAATAATCTTCCACGTAATTTTATTCGTGCTTCCAATTTGTACACTAATCTAGTTTTAGTTGTACAATGAATAAGAAAATTAATTATTAACCATATATTATTCTTATCATCACAACATGCAAATTGAGTATACTTTTGAGATCATCCCAATAAACATCTACCCTAACACTTTTGTTAGTATCCAAATTCTAGAAATCATATAGGGTAGTATATTGAAATAGATAGAGTTAAGATTGTAGAACCCGATTTCTTGTCGATCCAGTTTCTCGAGCAATTGCTTTCTGATTTTGGCATCAATCCAATGTCTTCAAGTGATATGATGTATCACTGGATTGATCAAACAGACACTCGAGAATTTTAGGCATTTAATTAGAAGCACTGGCGTACAGGTTTTTAGTAGTTCCCACGATGTCTTTTCCTTCCCAATCGTAACCACAAGTATATCATCTTTGGTTGGATAAATTGATCTTACTTATAGTTTTCAGAAACTTTAGTAAGTTTCCAACGCTAACGGCGTAAATTTGATTCCATTCAATCACTGGCAGTCTGTTGCTTCGCCGTTTTCCTCTACAGATGATCATAATTTCTTTCCTGAGTTTTCCCTCTATCAGCCATAGAGTTATCCCATAAATTCCTTAAGATTGTTAGCAAAAATATTATATAGGTTTGCGGGATTTATAAACCGGTTCTTGATAGAGTGATTCTTTGTGCTTAAGGAATTTAAGCCCCACTATTTGCTGCATGGGCTTGCGGCAGAATTCCTCAGGATATTACAAAAGCCAAATAAAATCCAAGTTCTAGCAATAACCTGAAATTTTCTTAAGAACATAGTTGTGTGTTTTTAGGAGAAGGAGATGAGAATCTGACTATTTTATTGTTTTTTTTCTTCTGAATGTGTGTCCCTCGTGTATTTATAATACCTTAGGTGTCGTTTGGAGCATGTCTATTAGGAAGAGACACACCTCTTCAAAAAGACACTTCCAATAGTTACTTTTATTAAATTAGCACTTCCTACTCTCCTATATAAATTATCAACTATTCCAAAAGATCATAGTCCGACGTGGATGTAACGTTGTAGCATCAAGTTCTCCATAACACTTTTAACCTGGAGCAAAAATTTATGTGCAAGAATTACTAAAATTATAATAAGTAATGAATATGAACTCATAATTAATGTTAAAAATAGAATGTGTTCAATATTAAAAAGTTTAAATGTTAGCAAGTTAGGCTGGGATCAGTTTTCAGAAGAGACTTAGGTGAGACTATTGGTGTATCAGTCGCAGGACGTGGCTCAGTTCTGGGTTCGAGACATATAAGTACTCTAGTAAACCTGTAGATATGGTGCACTAGAATTATTACTAATAAAATCTTATAACCAGATTGTTGTCAAAACGAGTTACAGATTCTCCATTGGGGTGCCATACTTGTAATCAGGCCAGGTTGGAGCATTTGGTTGTGTAGCAACTAGCAAGCTATACGGCTCATTACAGAGCTGCTGAGCAACCCCTAGCGAAGGAGCTCCTTCCCTTGTCGCTCAGCAGCTCTTTGAGGTGCCCTTGCTGCAACATGTTCACTAACTATTGCCTTAAGGAGATACAATCTTCTGTTTTGTGTCCGCGTTCCTGGTGCAATTCGCAGAGGGCGTCAGAGTTCCTGGTACTCTAATCAGATCTCATCTTTGGCTGCCACTTCACCTTTGTTCCGAGTTTCTCCAAGGCATAGACTATTTCTGTTGGCGAAACACAAAAAATGTGAGCAGATAACAAGAGGGAATACCTCTCTCGTTCTTGTGAATCCCCGTCCTCGGCCTAGATGGGCTTTCATCATAGCAGAAGGAAGGAGGGGCGGAGGCCCTGACGTAAGGCTGATGTCGTTCCCTGTTTGGCCATGAGACTGGGTGATCACTCCTCATGTTATCTCTTCGTTCTTTCTAGACTCGGTTTTTACTGAGATGAGCCGTCGAGTTGGTCCATTGAGGTCGTCATCATCTGCTCGAACTTCGGCACAATAGGCATTATGGATTTCGTCCCAAGTGGTAGGAGGGTACTTAATCAACCGGCTCAGCAACTTTCTGGTTGCTCGAAAATATTCGGTAAGGTCATCCTTACCCTGTTGAATCGGGTGGGGAAGTCCCTCAGTCCCTCTCTTAGGGATTGCTTGATGGCGAAGATATCGTTTACACTTGTTTCGGCTTTCTTGGCCCCGGCATGCGCCGTCACGAACTTATCGGCCATTTCTTTGAATGTTTCTATGGAGCGTGCTGGAAGCTGCGAATACCATTTTAATGCCCCTCCAGTGAGGGTTTCGCCGAATTTCTTCAGCAAAATGGAGGACACCTATTCCTTGGTGAAGTCGTTGCCCTTCACGGCGGTGACGTAATGAGTCACGTGGTCTTCGGGGTTGGTTGTCCCGCGTATATCCTGAGATATAGTGGCATTTTTAAGGTCTTTGGTATGGCATGTGGTGCCGCTTCATCGCTATATGGCTGCTCTACAAACCTGTCGGCGTCCCTTATCGGTAGTATCTTAGGGGCGCCCGTTATCTTGTAGACTCGTTCTTGTTGTTCTTTCTTTTGGTCTCTGAGCGTTTTGTTCTCATTCTCTATTTCTTCCATTCTTCTTAAGACAACGGCGAGGACGTCGTCACCTGCACTGTCAATAACATTGTGAATTATACCTGGGGTTGGAGGGTTTGGTTGATCGCCCTGTTCTTTTCATTGTTGTACCGTGTGAGCTCTCGTGGTTTCTATAGTCGTGCACGGGGCTTGTTTGTTGAGCACGCTTACTAAGGTATCAGTCAACCATGCTCTGAGAAGCTTTTTCATGGCAGGTGGCATCCCTTCTCCTGTGGACGTAGAAGCCCCTTTCCCATTTGGTTTCATTGTGCTGCAATGAGGGGAAGGCGACCTCTAGCGCCTGGGGGAGGCAGAGGGTGTCACATCATCGCTTAGTGTTTCATAGCTCTCGTTGATAAGGTTCATGAGGTTGTCGGGGACGTCAATGTCGTGCTAGTTTTGCTTCCTTGGTTACTAGCCATGTAAATTTCTAGATGTGGAGAGAAAGAGAAAAACTTTGTGGCTCGTTAGGTTAGCAAATCACGTGAGTTGTAGATCTAACATTGTGAGTTTTCCCTCTATCAGCCATAGAGTTATCCCTTAAATTCCTTAAGATTATTAGCAAAATATTATATAGGTTTGTGGGATTTATAAACCGGCTCTTGATAGAGTGATTCTCTATCCTTAAGTAATTTAAGCCCCACTATTTGCTGCATGGGTTTGCGGTAGAATTTCTCTAGGATATTACAAAAGCCAAATAAAATCCACGTTCCAGCAATAACCTGAAATTTTCTTAAGAACATAGTTGTGTGTTTTTGAGTACAAGGAGATGCGAATGTGACTATTGTTTTTCCTGAACGTGTGTCCCTCATGTATTTATAATACCTCAGGTGTCGTTTAGAACATGTCTATTAGTAATAGACACACCTCTTCAAAAACACACTTCCAAAGGTCACTTTAATTAAATTAACACTTCCTTCTCTCCTATATAAATTATTAACTATTCCAACAAACCTTAGTCCGAGGTGAATGTAACATTGTAGCATCAAGTTCTCCTTGAACACTTTCAACTTGGAGCAGAAATTTATGTGCAACTATTCACTAAAATTACAATAAGTAATGAATATTAACTCATAATTAGTGTTAAAAATATAACGGGTTCAATATTAAAAAGTTTAAATGTTAGCAAGTCAG